CTAAATAAAATGTTTTTTAATTGTGTACCAGTTTAATGTTGAATATTATTTATGATTTTAACAACATTTCCACTTTGAGTGTGAAGAACGTTATAGATTCTGTACCTCTTTCTTGTTCCTGTGAAAATGATTTATGTTGTTTTCATTAATAATAAATTGTTTTAATTTAAAAAAATAGTACAAATATGTTTATTTAAAGTTTTTATTTTGTAAACATAAATATACAAGCATTGGTACGTGAAAAAAAAAACTTCAACTGATTAACACCAGCCATAATTATAGTTATCAGGCTTACCTTCACAATAGTTTGAGGCAAATTCCTGTATCGCCTGATCACATTCAATTGAGCTCCTTATTGAAAGCAATTTTGGGAGAAGATTTTGAAGGGACTGCACAAAATTATGAGCATTCTCTCGTTCTTGCTGTGCAAACTCATTTCGCATTTCACAAAGTTTCTCAACCCTTTCTCGCTCTGTTTTTCCAGCATCTTCCTGTCCAAGCAAAGTCCGAGGAGCCTTTTCTCTTCTAGCTCTTTCTTCTTCTGCTAATCTTCTTTGTTCTTCTTCTAGTTCATGATTCATCTGAATATTCATACATGAAAAACAAATCTGAAAGTTTTCTTTAACTTATTTTGTGTTCATTATTTTTAACACAAACACATTCTGTTCATTGTGAACAGCAATGTGCTTTGAAAAGTGATCTCTTACAATTATTTATTCGTTATTTTCAAATATTTACATTATTTTGCATTCCATGTATATTCAACATATTTTGCCAAGTTAGCTTTCTAAAATCAACCTCCTCTCATCTAAAAAAAACCCCTTAAAATCAGTCAATAAAACAGTCAAACAAAAGTTTCCTAATATCAGTCAGTAGAACTTGCTACCTTTTGTTCACTAAATGACATGCCATATTTTCTCATACCAGTCAATAAAAACTTCCTCTTCATTTGTGTTCTCAAACATATTTCAGTGAATAAGATTTCATTCAATCTAACTGAAAAACAATATTTTCCTTATAATATGTTGATAAAAACGTCCACTTCTTGATCATTACCAAACAATATTTCATTGTAGAGTAGGTTATTTAATTATGTATGATAATAAGACTGATAATAAATTTTAGCACATCTTTTTTTATACATGTTTCCAGTAGGAACAGTGTAGCAGCATTTCAACCACATATTTTATACATTGCAAGCTACTGCCAATATGACCTTTTGCTCAATTCCAGAGCTCATCAGATCTGCTAGGCTCACAACAAAGCCTTAGATTAAATGTTCTTTATACTAGCCATTTATGATACAAACTTTATGGTGTCTAAAGCCTAAACTGATGAAAAATGATCTGTTTATTGGTAGTTTATGTGATATTACATCACATTAAGAGTGGTAAACTGATGAAAAATGATCTGTTTATTGGTAGTTTATGTGATATTACATCACATTAAGAGTGGTAATAATTTTTATCACATCTTTCTTTACAGGCTGTATATTCCAATAAGAAGAGTATTATAGCATTAACAACAAAGCATTTTGCTCAAAATTTGATGTCCCATAAATGACTGACATAAATTGCATTTCAGTTGAGGTGTCATGTGTTACAAGTCCAACTAATCTGAAGAGCTCCGATATTAAGCAAAAGACCTTGTAAAGTGGTGGACAAAATGCTATTATACTCATTTTAATGGAATCCTGTACAAGGTCAGTACTGAAAGATGTGATAAAATATTATTACCAATCTTATTATGACATAATATAACACAAATTACTGAAAAGAAGATAATTCTTCTCCAGTCTAGGTATTACATACGATAAAACCTTTTTTTTTTAAATATTTATAGTACAAAATACCTACACATCTACACAGTAAACATAAGTTCAAGATTTCTAAACTTACCTCCTCCTGTTCATTGTCAAAACCTTCCTCAGGTCCTTCGGTAGTCCCTGATGATTCTGTATCTGATGCAAGAAGAAAATCTGCTTTTTTTTTATTTTCACCAGTTTCATTAATGTCATCAGTTTCTATGGATGTGTGACTGTGATCTTCCACAATGTCAGCTCCATTTTCAATGACACTGAATGCTTCATCAGTTTTATCTACAACACTTGCACATTTCCTTTCTTTACTGCTATCTTCTGTGTCTAATTTACATATTTCAATAGACTGGTTTTCATCATTGCTAACAGAATTTCTGTCGTCTGCTTCTAATTCTTGTTCATTTTGTTTCTCTAGACTAGTGCTTGAAATTGTTTCATCAAACTTCTCTACAGACTCTTTCTCATCTAAAACACTTTCAATGTCAACTATGTCTTCACATCCTGTTGAACAACAACTATCAGTAGACATCTGAACATCATACCTATTTTTGAGTTTTTCTTCAGTTTTGTCAGTTCCAGTTCTTCCTTGATATTCTGAATCTGTGTAATTTAAATCACTCTGGGTCGTACATGTTTCATTCTCATATTCTACTGAATTCAGCTCCTTGTTTTCTTCATAAATATTTGAAGTGTCATCCACTTTATCCTCTACTCTCTGGGTGTATTTACCAAGACTGGAACTTTTGTCTTGAATGCTTGTTTTATTTCTTTTATCTTGAGCCCCTAAAAACCACAACAAAATCATTAAAATGCATTGAAATTTCACAAGAAATAATAATAAATACATCTTCAGTCCAAATTAAACATATAAATAAAACTCTCAAATTACATAAGCTTTCACTTACTATTAATAGCCCTTTATCATTTTAAGAACTGAAAAGCTAATACTGTCACAATGTGGAGAACAACTTATCACTGCCTTGCCTTGCTTAGTAACACCCATTATGTTATCTCATACTTTCAAAGCCTACAAGAAACTAGTCTGAAAAGTTTAAAATAAGTATGTTTCTAACTCTTACCCATCTTGGCCAACCAGCCCTATAGTATTTCTTAAGAGAAAGTTAAACATAATTAAGGAATATATGATATGAAGCACACACATCTTAAGAAGATGAATGACTTCAACTCCTTTTTGGATTACATTAATGGTAATTAATCATCAATTCATTTTGAAGCTTGCACCTGGTTCTAATTAATAGCTAAAAAGAGGTTTCATTAGAAACTAAGTACTAAAAATTTAATTGATTTTATGGTTTCATTGACAAAACTATGAAAGACCATGTGACAAAATTAAATCTAATTATTATTACAAATAAAATGTCAAACTGTGTAGCAAGTGTCTTTAAACACTAGAAAATATACAGTTTATTTACAGCATAATGAAGAATTGCAGTGTAAAGTTTGATCAGTTTAAAGGTCAAGTTAACTTCGAAATTCATGTTATATTATATAATATGATCGTCAAAATTCAATACTTTTAATATACAAACGTTTTGATAATTAATAATTGGGGATAAAACGTTTTACAAAAATTAATTAACATGCTAAAAGTTTTCAATGCCCTTTATTTCCAGTTGGATAGTTTTACTGCCCAGAGCCTCTATGAACATTGATGTTTTTTCCTCAGTTACTATTGTAAAACCTCCAGTATTATGTAATATCTATACTAACTCGTTCATGCATATTCTATACTTTTATTTCAATACAAGAATGTTTTTGCAATTAAACAATTGACTACAGCTGCTCTAAGTGCACATAGAATTTTTGCAAGCTATATACTGTACACGGCACACTTGCATTCAACTGCCAGAAGCAGACCAATTTGTTTGTTTTTGAATTTCGTGCAAAGCTTCACGAGTGCTATCTGCACTAGCCATCCCTAACTTAGTAGTAAAAGACTAGAGGGAAGGCAACTAATCATCACCATCCACCACCAACTCTTGGGCTACTCTTTTACTAATAAATAGTGGGATTGACTGGCACATTATAATGCCCCCACGGCATGTTTGGTGGGACAGGGATTCGAACCCGCGACCCTCAGGTTGCTAGTCAAGCACCCTACCCTCCTTGCCATGCCAGGCCCAAAAGCAGACAAAACCATATATGGTAAATCAGTAGTCAATGGGTTAATACTGCAGGTTTTACAGAGCAACAGATGAAAACATTAAGGTTCAAAGAACCTCTGGCAATTAAGACTATCCAAATGGAAATAAACATCAGAAAAATGCTTTGAACACGTTAATTAGAATATCATTTTTGAAGAACTTTTTTGTGCATATATACACTTTCTATAGTTCAACTAAAGTTAATGAAATACCATTAACCACTAAATGTACAGGAAGAAAATATATTTTTTTAATTTGTTCTATACCTACATTTACTTTTTTAGAAAACTATAAAGATTTTAAATTATTATATTACGATTTAACTCTGTAATATGTTTATATCATGAAAGGGAATGTAAATATATATATATATATATATACTTTAGTAAAAATTCTATTTTTTTCTAATATTATATCACAGCTCACAACTATAAACTTTCTTATTCATATGATAAGCCAAAATTTGCTTGCCCATCTCTTTTCAAAACCTCCAAAAAAATACTAAAAGAAACTATGTATCATTTGATTTATACTAAACTGTACGATAGTGTCGAGTCCCATTTAAACTTACAATGGGAATGTACCATAAAGCATGCGTATCAGTGTTAGACTATTAGTTCCAATTTGCATTTCCAATAATGTTAATCAGTTTGAATATTAGAATTAGATTCTGTGTGAGCTTAGAAGAACTTGTCTGGGATTTTACCATTCAAACAGTAAAAAAACCTCATTATTACATTATGTGTCACTTGTTTGTTCAAGACACTTTTGATTTGATAAAAAGTATATACAATTTAACTTCAAACCTTTGTAGTCAACATCATGTAAGTTTGTATATAGGCTGTTGATGTGCTGCACATATTGATCTGATATGCCTTCTCCTGTTGCTAGGTGTTCCAAACTTGACAATAATGCAACAGTGCATGATACACTTGCATAACAAACACTTGTGTCATTGCTATGGCAACATTCTTCCAGAGAATCCATAACACTGGAATTAAAATAAATACATACATTAAAGTTATTGAATGTGTTACATAAATAGAATAATGCACTTATCTGATGGTTCATCATAAGCAATTTCACGCTAAAAATTTTCTACTTGTAGTATAGAAGTATTTAAAATAATTGAAAAATCACAATGATATTAAAACACAAGGAACAAGTTTGAGTTTCCAACGTTACAATATTTTTAGCATTTCTATTCACCAGTAAGCAGTGTAATATATTTATGAATCAAGTGAGCATAAAATTGGTTTTCTAGCATTATTACTGGATATATGAAAAGCACTTCTATCATTGTGTTTTCTGGTTTTTTAGGTAATGATGGTTGATGCTGCTGGTTGAATGTTTCTAACAGAGCTGTAATTAGACAAAAGATGCATTTTCAAGAGAACCGTTTAACTTCAGTCTGAGCATGAGCATTGAGTCACTAAAATATAACTGGATCATGTATAATATTTTAGTTATTTATCTGATATGTGTGGACACAACCTAGAACAAACTGAGAGCAGGGACTGAGATTTAAAAGACCAGCATCAGTATCAATACTTACTAGATGCTGCACATCAATATTTATTGGTTGTTCATACAAATATTTTAAAAGCTTTGTCATTCATCATTGAAGATAAGCTCTTTCTACTCACAAATCTAGACACTATATTTATGATTCGATCAACAACAGATGTGTAGGTCCAAATATTAGCATTACACCCAGGGTATCCAAATTGTCACCCAGTTATTATGTAGTTTCAGTGTTTTTATTGTCACCATAACATTCACGAAACAAAATATAAAAGTAATTAAGTCGTTAATCCTGTACCACAGAGTACTCTGAAGCAATCCTGAGTTTACATTTTCTATTCCAAACAGAGAAATTTTCAATTCAGTTTTACAATCACAATGATTTAAATAGTTGATTAAACTATTAAAACTATATTCAATTTTCAATTCAGTTTTACAATCACAATGATTTAAATAGTTGACTAAACTATTAAAACTATATTCAGATTTCAATTCAGTTTTACAATCAATGATTTAAATAGTTGACTAAACTATTAAAACTATATTCAATTCAGTTTTACAATCACAATGATTTAAATAGTTGATTAAACTATTAAAACTATATTCAATTTTCAATTCAGTTTTACAATCACAATGATTTAAATAGTTGACTAAACTATTAAAACTATATTCAGATTTCAATTCAGTTTTACAATCACAATGATTTAAATAGTTGACTAAACTATTAACACTATATTCAGTTATGTACCGTTGTGTTCATCAACATTGAAATAAAAGACTGCATAATATTTTAAGTCAAAAGAAAACAGTGTGTATATATATATATTTCATCTATTTATTTTTCATTTAAAGATTATACCTGTAGTCAAAATATAAAAAAGAAAACTAGAGAAGTTAGTATAATTTTTGTAAAGTAATAATGAAGTGAAAACAAATCAGACTTTTTTTTAGCTTGCTTATATCCATGAAAGCATACATAAGCCATTACTGCTTGCAGAAAAACAATTAATGGCTGACTTCTCAGAGACTAAATGAATTCACATCTGTTTTGTGGGGTTGGATGAAAACTCCATTAACAGCCAAGTTTCACCAACTGATGACTATGTAAGTTTGGTCAATATAAATTTTACTAGTAAGTTATTATAAATAAACCTAATTATGTTTGAATCATTTGTATTTATATAGATGTTTGCACATGTGGATGTAAATGTCTGTAAGTATGTATGTGTAAATGTTTATGTGCCTGTGTGAGTGTGGTATATGTCTTTCACAGGAGCTTCCACTGAAGAATGACAGAAGGGAACAACTAGAGCATCCAAACACATTTGTTACTTAATTATAGTATTTTGGCACTTGTGTATAAAGTTAAAATCATAAATAATATTCAACTTTAAACTGGTACACAATTAAAACCATTTTATTTATGGCCTATCTATGGCCTTCAAAAAGTTGACGACTCTACATGTTTTGACGTTACAACGTCATCCTCAGGAGTTGTAACGTCGAAACATGTAGAGTCATCAACTTTTTGAAAGCCATAGATAGGCCTAAATAAAATGTTTTTAATTGTGTACCAGTTTAACATTGAATATTATTTATGATTTTAACATTTGTTACTTTGCTAAAAACGAAATATGCCAAGATGATACCACCATTTTTATAAGAAGTGGTCACACAAAATACAACAATCTCAGACAAATTTAAGGTAGCTTATGTGGCTAATGCAAGCCTCCATATTGTTAAAAAAAACAAAAAAAACACTTAACCCTATGGACACGTCATAATCTTTTTACACAGTTACATTTAAAATATGATTAAACTACTTTATTATCAATGTTAATAAACTTGGTATCGAAATGTTCTTCATAACTCAAATTTTTATATCATCTAAGTTTTAATTTTTTATTTCAAAGGAAATATCTAAATAAATTCTCAACATACACTTCTCACTCACATGACATAGGGACACTCTGACTTATCATTTATAGATTTTTTTTACTTTGCTAATAAGAGCTTCGGATTGTTCAACATGAAAAAACACATATTATAGATATTGTTTGTTTGTTTTTAAGTTACACAATGGGCATGCTGTGCTCACCAGTAGTATTGAAACCTGGATTTTAGCATTATTAGCTTTCAGATTTACTACTGAGCCACTGGGGGACTTATAGGTATTGATAAGCCAGAACATAGAAGTTCAACCTCTTACCTTCTTGATTTACTGAAATATCCACTTTATTTGTCCAACCCACGATGACATGTCCATCTCATATCATCTGTCTTTTAAAAAATGTCTATACCTTTCTCTAACATTGTTACTGAATATGTTTTATAACCAACAGAGAGAGCAAAATCTAAATTACATAAAACAGATGATTGACTGTTCTGTGTTCTGTATTTTTGGTAAAAGCCAATAGTTTGTTACAAGAGCTTAATGTGTTTAAGATATTGTTCCTAGCCATTATAGAATTTTTTTTATCTACTTTTAGCTTACTTAGGAAGCCAGATAAATGATAGTAGTTTTGAGACATTCTTTTCTAGTGTCTAATATAATTTTTGTTCTAAAATGCATATCTGAAAACTACATGAATTATTTTAGGGCAATCAACATAGTGAGAAAACAACAGTCGAGATTTGCATGCCATTAGCTTTGAGGCAACTCCCACATATTTTCACATGATTTTATGTGAATTACACCAATGACAGCATATTAACTCCTCCTATGCAGTTGCCCTCATGAATCTTCATTCTTTGATGAGGGAAATAAGAAAAATGTGAACTAAAAGTTGGGAGGATGGGTGGGAATGTGTGCAGAAGTATCTATCAGAAATACACTTTCAGGTATGGAAACCATTAACTTCTGAGATGACTCACCTCCCACAAAAAGTAGCTAGAATCCCATGTTGATATGGTGGATGGACTGGTGCAAAATTTACCTATAAGAGCACCCTTCAGAAAGCATCCTAGGAATACCCATAGGGTGTGACACCTGATAGCTGAGGCTCCATATAGGCACACCTATATGTGGGAGACCACATCTTGTTTCATCCAGAGTATACTCTTTGTCCATACAGGAAAAGGGAATAGGCATAGAAGACAAACTTGTGTCACAGGAATGGGCAGAATATACTGTACCTTATATGCTCACTTCAACCATCAGATGTTATGGGACTGACACCAATTGCGAGAAGAGGACACGTGATAAGTATCAATGCTCACCTCATCTCGACAGGACAAACTTCAGCTGCAGGAGGAGGGCACTTGTTATGTAATATGGATACTTGTGTACGCCTCAACTCTACCGTTAGACTCTAGAGGACAGATTCCAGCTGTGGGAAAAGGGTACAATATTAGCTTTAGCTCTACTGTTAGACAGACTCTGTGGAACTAACACCAGCTGTAGGAGGAGGGTATGTTAGAAATTCATTAAAGGTTTGTATAGAGTGCTCATCTCAACTCTACTGTCAGACTCTATAGGACTTACACCAGCTGCAGGAGGAAAGCACATTAAACATATAATAAGGACTTGTATAGAGTACGGTCAACTTGACTATATTGAACAGGCATAGGCTGCAGGAGGAGGACGTAAGATATATATATATATATATATATATTGGCACTGTATAGTGAATGTTCACTTCTACTCAACAGAATAGATACTATGGAATAGATTCTATCTGCAGGAGGAGGGCACTGTATTATGCAGTATTACTCAATATTTATTGTGTGCTCACTTCAACTCTATTGAACAGACTCCTGCTGCAGGAAGAGGGCACAGTCACTTAGTGTGTGTGTCATCACAACTCTACATGACAGACTCAGGCTGCAGGAAGAGAGCATGGGTGGCATGAGTGATGTATCTGATTTATATGAAATAGTAAGTAACAAAGGTCTCCCATGTTTCACTCAATGAAAAGGGTGGGGGGATTCGCATGGGAGACACACGGAGAAATCATCTGGATCTTCATCAGTCCTTTGGTCTGGAAAAATCCTTTACTGGAGACACCCCCCCCCCCACGATACCTTAAGTGGTTTTGCAGAATATCTCATCTCACCATGGGCACATAGAGGCAGAACAGATGCCATGAGTGCTTTTTTTTATATTGGCTCAATGTGGCTTTTGGGTTATTTTACCTTGGGAGGCAACACCAGTCACTGATGGGATAGTATGTAATGAAAGAGGGGTTCTGAAACAGAAATAGTATGTATTATTCTCAAAGACAGTGAGGCGATTGAAGAATGGCAACCAGTGAAAGCCAAAAACCATCAGGATATAAAATAGGAAGAAGGTTTAGAGAATGAAATGAATGTTTGGAGAGAGTCCACACGCCCACCTGGAGAAGCTAATCCAAGGGCTGTCAAAGAAGAGATGTAAGAGAACAAAAGGTGATGAATCGAACGCAAAGAAAAGGGAAATAGTCTGTCAGCATCTACATCCTGAAACAAACATATCAACAGAGGAATTGA